ATTTGGGGACATTTTGGGGACATTTTGGGGGGATTTGGGGAGGATTTGGGAACATTTTTGGGATTTGGGGACATTTTGGGGACATTTTTTGGGAATTTGGGGACATTTTGGGGGGATTTTGGGAGGATTTGGGGACACTTTTGGGGCATTTTGGGGACATTTGGGGGAATTTTGGGGACATTTGGGGGGATTTAGGGACATTTTGGGAACATTTGGGGGAATTTTGGGGGATCTGGGGACGTTTTGGGGGGATCTGGGGGAGCTTCGTTGTTCTCGTGGTGTCCTTTGTTGTCCCCAAGGTCTCTGTGTTGTCTTTTGATGTCCCCATGATGTCCCCAAGGTGTCCCCAAGGTGTCCCCAATGTCCCTGTGGTGTCCCCAATGTCCCAAACCTGTTCCAAGGAGGTCCCCAAGATGTCTCCAAGGTGTCCCCAGTGTCCCTGTGATGTCTCTGTGGTGTCTCTGTGGTGTCCCCAATGTCCCAAACCTGTTCCAAGGATGTCCCCAAGGTGTCCATGGTGTCCCCAAGGTGTCCCCGAGGATGTCCCCAAGGTGTCCATGATGTCCCCAATGTCCCCAATGTCCCTGTGGTGTCTCTGTGGTGTCCATGTGGTGTCCCCATGGTGTCCCCAATGTCCCAAGGATGTCCCCAAGGTGTCCATGATGTCCCCAATGTCCCCAACGTCCCTTTGGTGTCCCCAGGAGTGGAACGCCGAGAACGCCATCGAGGCCATTGTGTCCCTCACAGTGTCCCTGTGGTGTCTCCATGATGTCTGTGATGTCTCCAAGGTGTCCATGGTGTCCCCAAGGTGTCCCCGAGGATGTCCCCAATGTCCCCAAGATGTCCCCAATGTCCCCAACGTCCCTTTGGTGTCCCCAGGAGCGGAACGCCGAGAACGCCATCGAGGCGCTGAAGGAGCGTCCATTGTGTCCATCACAATGTCCCTGTGGTGTCTCTGTGGTGTCCCCATGGTGTCCCCAATGTCCCAAGGATGTCCCCAAGGTGTCCATGGTGTCCCCAATGTCCCCAAGGTGTTCATGATGTCCCCAATGTCCCCCCAGGAGCGGAACGCCGAGAACGCCATCGAGGCCATTGTGTCCATCACAATGTCCCTGTGGTGTCTCTGTGGTGTCCCCATGGTGTCCCCAATGTCCCAAGGATGTCCCCAATGTCCTCAATGTCCCCAAGATGTCCATGGTGTCCCCAATGTCCCCCCAGGAGCGGAACGCCAAGAACGCCATCGAGGCGCTGAAGGAGCGTCCATTGTGTCCCTCACAATGTCCCTGTGGTGTCTCTGTGGTGTCCATGTGGTGTCCCCATGGTGTCCCCAATGTCCC